TAAATTAATTAATTCCGAATTTTATTATATATATATATATAATTCAATAAAAATTAACAGACTCGAATTCACCGTAGTAGTTACCTTCTTCCATTCTCTGTTCTATTAATTGTAAGTTCGGCATATTATATTACATTGTTTAATTTAAATGTTTTTTTAGGGATTTAGGAATTTAATCTAAATGTTTTTTTTTTATTTGAATATATGACGTCTCAATTTTTTTACGTCCTAATTATCCCAATATTTGTTATAATAACGTAACAATTGGCATAAGATCACTTTCCTCATACTTGATTATTTATTCAATTGCGCGTTTCGCCGTTTGAACTCATATGTCGCTATTTGAATCTATTAAAGTTGCAAGACTCCTTTTTGATTCGCACCGAAATAAGTCGCGTTATTGGCCACCCGCTCGCTCGTTCGCTCGCTCGCTCGCTCGCTCGTTTGCCGGCGATTCATCAATTTCCTGCGACGTCGAGTTGACGTAAGGGGACGGGTAGTGACGGAATTCCGGCGAGCGTTTCATGAACGAATCGTACCCGCGTATCACGCGCGCTTTCCGCTGGCAGACATTTTTCTCCCTTCGCACTAATAGCGCGTTATACGGATACGTACCTCCACTCATGACATTTTCAATGACAGCTGCCGACGTCTTCCTGCATTCTCCCCTCCTTCTCTCTCGTGGCCGCCGCCGGTCTTCCGCGTCCGTCTTCCGTGGCTGTCGTAGTCGTCAAGTCCCGCGACGCACTGTTACGAGGAAATCCAAACGGTCCCGGAAAACAGAAATGGCGGCCGTGACGGTAGGCGCAGGCTCCCACGCGAGTTTCGCGAAAAGCATCTCGATGAGATCGCGCTTGAAACGTCGGACGCGTCGAGATCGATAGATCCGATTGATCTTTCGTTATCGGGACCTTATCACGTGGCAGAGCTCGAGAAGAAAAAAAACGACGTTTTCGTAGAGATAGATATAGCGAGTGATCTTTCGGCGAAGCGGCGCGCGAGTTGTCGATCGCGCGTCTACGAAAGGTTACCGGCTGGCGGACGGACGAGGACTGAGCGGAACAGTCGAACGCTCGCGGATCCCCTCTCTCGCTCACACACGTTCCGTCCTTCCATCTCCCTCCCACCACGCGCCGCCGCGCTCTACGCCGTTCGGCGACATTCGGCAACTCCTCTGCCTCCGTCTCGCTCCCTCCTTCGCGCACTCCGCTACCGCGCGACCGCCTTGCGACACATTGCCGCGGAGCGTGCGCGGGCAAGGAGGAGGCACGCACGAGGTCGGGAAACACGGTAATCTCTCACTCTCTCCCGTGGCCGAACGGACACGGAGCGTCGTCGCGCACGTATTTCGCATGAAAATCTTATGTCCATTTATATCGATGTAGATTAATTTTAATCTCGATTTAAATGGCTTTCTATCATTCATTTATTTCTAAGAATTAGAAAAAGCTATCAGGTAAATAAAAATTAATCTAGTCTATTGTTATAAAAATCGACACATTAAATCGATAGTTTAAACGGAGAATCAGCAGCGATGTTTTAAGCCAAAATTTAACTCATGGCTTTCTGTCTTATTTAGTTCTAAAAATTAAAAAAGGTTGAAGAATAAATTAAAATTAATCTACATTGTCAAAAATCGACGACACGAATATTAGTGATTTTCGATAATTTAAATGGAGAACTTAGCAGCGGTAATGTATTCTAAGCGAAAAAATAGCGGAGAATGAAATTTGTATTGGCGTGCCGCACGTGCTGTGAGTGTGTGCGTGCGCGCGTGCGTGCGCAACCGCGGAATAATAACAAAAATATCACGATGTAATACACAATGTTTATATTACGAGGAATATCGTCTTTGGAACAACGTACAATATTGCATGATTGACGATACGAACGCAAATATTTCAAAGCAACATGTGTTTCGTGACGGGACTCGTAGAACATTAATATATAAGGACGCTCTTTCACGCTTAATGTTACGACTAAGATTAGACTAAAGTTACGTAACAAACTTTCGTATTGATGTACTGTAATTAATTCTGTTGCAGAAATGTCTTGAGATTTCACAAAAGTAGAATCATGTACATTATTTCGTCTTGATGATTTAAATGCTCGATACAAATAAGATGACATGATAGCAAGTTTAGAAAATTTTACGAAACGGTAAAAACTTACATTGTCTTACATAAAATTGTATTTATAATTATATAATTAGATTTTTAGTGACAATAATTACATAAAAATTTATATAAAAAAATAATTCTTTCACTTTTCAAATTGCATTCAGATACTGTTATTTACCGAATCAATTGTTGCTGAAGAAGATCAAAGATTGCGAACTTCCTCTAGTTATAAACATAAGAGAGCTATTATATTATATGATTGTCATCTTTTACATGTGACATGACGTGTTCTTCTAATCGTGTAACTAGCTTTTGAAATGAGACCATCGCGAGATGAGACCATCAGTTCTGTTTTTTTCTCCGAAAATTTCCTTGAGCACAAAATAGAGAAGCGATCGCGTTCTATATTTAATAATAAATGTATGATTTTCAGCCAGCAATAATGTCCACTACAATTCTCGTTCAAACATTATTTTTGTCTTCTACTCGAGCGTAATTTATACACAATTATTTATTCGCGTGTCGTCTCGCGTTGCTCGATATTTACGATTTCAAAATAGGATAGGCTGTGTTAAGTTGACTTGACCGAGAATTCCGGTAGGACTCCGGTTTATAGAGTCGCTGGACGGATTGAAAGGCACCGTGTTGCATGTGTAAAATATAAAACTGAAACGCTGGGTCAATGAAATACGATTTGCGTCAAGTCAATGTCGAGGCGAGTTTCAGCTCACTCATGAATTATGAAGGGACGATTCTAAAAACGAAAAGAAAACATGCGCAGCCATTGTAGCTTTAATCTGTAGAAACGATAGGCAAATGACACTGTATGACAAAAGAAAGAAGTACGGACAAAAGATAGAGAAGAGAGAAAATCGTTGGTTTTTCCGAAGGAAAACTACATACATTCGATCTATATGTGGTACAAAGGGTTGGCATTCATTGTATTGATTGTATTTTCATTGTTGAAAATTTTACTCATATTTGCTTTATATTTTCTACTTTTTATAAGAAATCACAACTATTCGGATCCGATTTGATTCTTTTTAAATATATAAACAAAAAATATCTAAGAGATACTATTTTTTTTTATATCAATCTAACTTGGAGATTTAAGCGATAAACAACCTTTCAAAACTAACGCTTATATTTAATCCCAATCAATAAAACGTACGATGTATAGAAAAATGTTTTAGATAAAACTTTTATGTACTTTATAACGTTTATGTACCTTTTGTATGTGCTTTATAAAGTTTTCAGGAAATCTAAATATACCGTTATATAACATACATAAAAAAAATCATAAAAATTTCGTTTAAAACATTTTTTTATGTATCTCATCGTTTCGTTAATAATTAAAGATTATTTCTTAAATCTCAAATTGGGTCGATATAAAAAAAAATACTTATCTCTTAGATTTTTGTATTTAACAACATATTTCAAGGAGAATCGAATTACTTTCGGCCACTTGTGACAGGTCTCTTGTTAGTGCAATTTCGAAAACTATTCTCGCTGTATTCGCAAAATACTCGATGAGATTTTACGGGTATGTATCCATGGACGATACACGATACATTCGCAGGCCATCTGATGTGAACATCAATTCACATTGCGTATTTACATGTAGTCGTGACGACAAGGGATTATACCTGCCACGATTATTGGTGTTTTTACGTACGTGCGTGATGTTTACGCGGAAAGCACCGACGTTTAATAACCATTGGCGGTGCTAATTGCTAAAGATCGAACACGATTACGTTCTCGCGGAAATGTTTAACATGAGTATTTCGCCGCGTTAGCGGCGGTCTATCTTTGTCGGATGCAAGCCGACAATACAGGTGGCGACTAATACACGTCCGTGTGTATTTCGTACACCCGGTATTTCCAATCGTTTCTCTTACATTCGCGGAACTGAGATTTCCTCGTTCGCGATGAAACAACAAAGGAAGAAGCGAGGTAAGAAGGAAAACAAATGATTTTTAAGGCTTCGAGTTATCAACATCGCGTTAAAACGAGGCAGCATTTTTCTATTAAAGTTTCTAATAAAAGCATAATCGACTAGAGAATTAATATTGAACGAGGGTTTACGGTGCATCGATCGTTGTTGACCTGGTACAATAATGCATATTGAAGGAGACATATATCTACGGGCGAATCGTAAATTGATATTTTGTAAGAAAGTAGGGGACAAGCGGGAAATTGTTTAATAAGAAATAATACGTTTAATAAGACGTAATACACTTCATGTTGATCAATACCGCGCTCTGGACAAGCATCTACCCAGCATTAATACAATTGGCCTTTTAACATAATTGGTTTATACAGCTATGAAAGAAAAATAGACTATCGTAATTAAAGCAAGCGTATAAATTAAATTTTAATTGCGCGTTAGTTTCTGCTAATTATTTTCTCGAGCAGAGGGTTTATTGACCTACAAAAAAAGAGTTTTCGCCGTCTAATGCGTTCGAGTTATGATTTTGAAGTAATATATAGCTAATTAAAATCATTTATTGAAAACTATCGATGCACTTCGATTTAGATGTTAAAAATTAAACTGAAGATCAAGGAAATTAATTCGGGATAAAGCAATAAAGTTAAGAGATACAGCAAATATATAAGAGATTCGATTACACAAGGAATTCCCGTTGAGAATAGAGAGCATCATTTTATCTCGACGGTTCTCATAACAGCCTATTAGATGATATCAAGTGCATTAGCACAAACGAGCAATTTAGTCGTCCTCGATGAGATCGCGTCACAGCGAGAAAATTCAGGAATAGAAAAAGCAACACCGGGACAATAGCGTACACAAACTGTCAGAATTTGCAAATCCAAAAATTTTTTATCGTAGAAATCGGATATTTTTTTTCTTCATATCTTTTGTGAGAAAGAATATCTCGCGAACTCTTCTGGTATTCGAAGTTAAATGTTTCGATGACGAAACCTGTATACCGGGAATTCCGACGAGTTTGAAGTTTACTTGCGCATTACGGGGCACCCTGTAGATGTACGAGCATCTCGGGGCCCGTCTCCTCGAAATACCGCAGACGTATAAACTCGTCGTGGCGACGCCGTCGCATGGAAATAGAGAATAGAAGTAGATTTAGAAATAGAGCCGCCAGTCGTCGGCCTAGAATTTGATCGGAGACGTGGCCTAACGCGCGCCCCGACGCTGTTTCGGACGAGTTGGAACGTGCGTTGTCGTTTCGATGCGGCGCGAAGTGATGCGCCAGGCAGCTCGCGATGAATAATAAACAGGAGGCGCCGAGGGGTGGGGATCTTTCTAGGCTTTCGGCAGTATCGGGAAGCGTTTTCGGAGTGGAGTCTTAAAATAATGGACGGGCGTACGCGAAGGTTTCGCTGGGACCAGAAATGCCGCGCCGATGAATAAGACGAGTATCTCCGAAAATAGTCGCGTCCGAGGCCCGATACAAGGGCCTCCAGGTGTCAATTTCAATTGTGCGAAGGAAACGTTTCTTCTTCCTCTCTTAATTCGTTCCAAGACTTTTGGAATATAATAGAAATTTTCAATTGTAAGGCGAATCTATTAACAGTTTAAGGAAATTTCCAAGAGAGAGAGATAAAGTATAAAAATAATTTTTAAAAGAATTATCTTGCGTTTTATCAAAAACATATCTCGTGTATCTATTTACATATTACATAGTTTATATTTATTATACATTTCATCTCGTGTACTCTTCTACGCTCACTTGAGACTCTATCTGATGAATTTCGAGGAGAAACGGTACTTCCACTAGACAGTGGCTTATTTCAAATGCGTTAGTCTAAATAATGATAATAAGAAGGAAATTCGCCGGGCCAACACCTTGCTGATCCGAGCTCATTAGGAATCGACCTGGAATTCGAAGGTGTCTAATTAAATAATGAATAATGCATGATGCATCACGCGATTAAGGGCACCCCGGTGCGGACGACGCGGCGTCGGCGGCGGCAGTGGCGTTCACGCGGACCGAGTTA